AAGCCGGAATAAAAAAATCAGATACAAAGTACTCCAGGGCTCTGGGCTGGTATACTAGATAGTAGATACTTCTTTTAAAGTTTCAAATAATCAAAATATAATAATATACAAATATACAAATTTGAATTTATGATTTCCCTGAATTGAACCATATTAGAGATAAATAATTTACAGTTTGGGGACTTACATATTTAGTCATTATTTTAATTTTTTTTTGATTACCAGTTTTTATTGAAAACACTCCTCTGTCATCTTCGTCTGATCCACGCCATCCATGTGTTATGACTTTTAAAGGTTGACCCCTGATCCAATGATTGATTATTTGTTTTTCATTGCCAAATTCAAATATCATTGATTTATTATTTCCAAGGTCTCTAAAACAAATAAAATATAAATATCTTAATTTTAAGAGTAGATTGTTACCATCTATATTAGCTATATACGGCCTACAAAGCATCAGATAAAATAAAAATGAAAATTTTGCAAACTAATAGTTTCGATAAAACATAGCACTATTGCAGTCAATGTTAAATTGCATACAAATTAAAAATAGTAAAAAAAAAAAAATGTTTGTCTACAATAACAAATTATAACCTAAGTTCCTAGGTGCTACATTTAGTACAAAGCTTTAATATATAAAGCGCATATAATGGTACATACGAGTTCCAATATAAAAAATCTAAGCTAGTCCCGTCGACAAACATTGATCGATGGTCTGAATAGATTGAATCTTCTGCAGACTGATTGATTTCTTCACCTACGACCGTGTCTTGTTGAACCAAGGCGTTGTAATTTTCGACCGCGTCTTGTTGAACTGGGGTGTTGTCATATTCAACTGGCTTTTTCTTGATTACATTTTGCCAAATGTTTCTCAAAAAACGAGCTAAATATTTAAAGAGATTTGACAACGGTATTAAAAAAAATACATAATTTAAAGGTTAAAAAAAGGTAAGTTTATTGAGATTTAATGTTTTAATACTTCATTACAACAAAAAAAACATAATAACAAACTACACCGGTGACGAATTATTAGGAGTGAAAAAAGAAATGATATATAGGTGCCTATCATATATTTGATCATTTTAAGTAAATCAAAACATATAGGTAATATCGAATCCTAATTTATCCCTGACGATGGGTGAACTGTGTACTAACCATCGATCGGCTTGATCGCTATCAGTAGGAACAGCGGTAGAACGACTGCAATAATAGTTGTTACGAATTTCATTTCCAGGATAGATATGTATAGCTATCTTTATACACGTACTATCTCAGTACAAGCTTAAACCAACTATTAAGTAACTATCGAGGTACACCTGGGAGTTTTATTTCGTTATTTGTTTAACTATTGCAGTCGTCAGTTGTTTTACATTCTGGCGGTTGGATCATGTAAATTGGTTGGTGGTTGAGGTGGGTAGGGGTGGCAGCTTATACATTTAGACGTATTTATACTGCACAAATGCAGCTGTAATTAGACGACAATGATAATCGTATTCGTAACCATAATTAAATAATCACATTTTATGATTGTCCGAATGCTCGGCCACTTGTTGACTTATCGCGTGCCTAGGGAAGTTAACGTGTTGCGGTTAATAGGTGTCGTATTATAGGTATACTATAATTGCACAATGTTATAATGATAAGTACGATTTAAAACAGCCTAGTGTGTATTTGTTTTAATTTTTAATTGCCGTTAATATACATTATATTGACTGCAATTAAATGTACTAAAGTAAATTTACACCTATGCAAATTAAACACAATGCCCTTGTGTATCAACTTCGACTTCAACGACGTGTAGATAGAGTGTAGAGTTTAAATTATGTAGAAATATTTGTCGAAGAAGTATCTTACATTAAACTGTACAACTTACTATTATAATTTATAATTCATCGAATGCAATTAAATACATTCACAAATTATAATAATAAATTACTATGTTGTGGTAGGTATAGGTAGGTAAATAGATTGAAGTTACGTTTTCTAGTAGGTATATACTATATGACGGTGCTAACTGCTAAATATATAGTAAATAGTAAATATGTAGGTACATATTAAATTCACTAGTGACTAGGGTTGCCACCTCTCCGGGTTTCACCCGGAGAATCCGGGTTTACGTATAAATCTACGGGCTCCGGGTTCAGTGAATTATTCTCCGGGTCGGAGATAAAGATAAGATAACATACGTTTTTTTATTATTATGCCTCTTTTTTTAAAATTAGTTTCCGGTATAAAACCATTTATTCAAGATAACAAGAATAATAAGATTATGAACTACGGTTTATGACTTTATGAGTCTACGATTACGATTTTACGAATCCGAATATCTGCTTTTAATTTTTGCGTCAGTGTAACCGTGCATCGATATTATAAAACTACACAGAATTTGAAAAGTAATTCATTAATGACCACATTTATGACTAAATGACCTTTTTTTTTTTTTTGCTTATCGGCCTGTCTCCGGGGCAGCTTTCTTTCAAAGGTGGCAACCCTACTAGTGACTGCAATACCGCGGTGAGGATATATTTACAAATAATCCGAATAACTGTGAAATGCTCTATAAAGATTTAGTGTTTCATTTTATTTTTCACAACTGTATTTCAATTTTGTTTTGTTGTGGTATATTATTGTTATAATAATATGTATTATTAAATTTTTAATCTATTTTACTATCTATTTATTTGCTTATAATTGTCTTAAGGGGATTCGATACCGCGATGTTCTGTTTTTGTCTAACACACGCGCGACATAGTATTTTAGACGTGTTTTTTGCCAAACATTCCAATTGATCTATTGAAGCGATAAGATTTCTGAAAACAGATTTGAATTTGTCGTCAAGCCTACTTGAAATCGACTTTCCCACATTTTTCATTTTTTGATTTTAACTTCTCCAAAAATTGAAATACCAGAACTTTTAAATACTCTTTTTGAATATGACATTTTAAAAAATTTGGGGGATAATATCAAAAATGTGGGAAAGTCGATCTCAAGTAGACTTGACGACAAATTCAAATCTGTTTTCAGAATTCTTATCGCTTCATTATATCAATTGGTATGTTTGGCAAAAAACACGTCTAAAATACTATGTCGCGAGTGTGTTAGACAAAAACAGAAAATCACGGTATCGAATCCCCTTAAAATTAAAAAGCTAGTGTTAAAATGTTTTTTTTTTATCTAATACGCCATGATGATAAATAGATTATAGTTAATTTTTAGTGCCTATACAGACTATATAACATACTATTTACGACCTGTGTATAAAACCCGGCCCGTCGCATTTATATATTTTATAAACTATTAGTATTTTACATTTACAAAAAAAAAAAAATTGAAAAATTGAAAAGTAATTAATATAATATATTATTATGTAGGTTATAGTATTATTATGTATTTATTACATATCCATCTTAAAATGTATAAAGTAAAATATAAACTAATATTTCTTTAGTTTCTTATTGCGTATCGCCCCATTCGTCAATTACGTTGTTAATCAGACTTATGGGAAATGTGTCACGGCGCTATCGTTTTTATTTAAATTAAAGTTATAGTTTTATCGTTTCTCATGAACACTAAGTTATCCGTCACCGATATAAATGTAGTCGTTATTTCGTTGTGTTATAACGTTTTTACTAGTGTTATTGTTCTAACAAGTTCATAATGTTAAAAAAAAACGGAAAATGGACTCGGAACCTATGGTACTCAAGCCTCACACCAAACACTCTCACACTTTGTGAAACAAGCCTAATTCTTCTTGAGATTGTGTAGTATTTCTTTTGGTAGTTGTTGTACTTGTTGGTGATTGAAAAAATTAAAACGAAAATACTTGCATTGTGAGGTTGAAAGTAAGGCTGGCGATATATTCAGTATATTGGTAATTACCGGTATTTTTGGTATTTTAGAATACTGGTAGGTATACCAATATACCGTGATTCGATATAAATACCTTTGTTATCGAACATACAGTATGTACTATATAGTTTATACATTAATAATTATTTATATTTAAATAATCATATAATCCGGCATGTGTTATCTGGTTTCATGTTATTACTCAGGAGTCAAGACAAAAACAAATATTCTTAGTACCTATACACCTATTTGACGATGGTAATATTGTTTTGATTATTTTTAATAACCATTCCCTTCTCCCACAGTATTACAAAATATTTTGTAACTTTTTTAAACAATAATGAATACCTAATTACAAACATAATTTTTAAAATAGATGTTATATTTTAGATTCTGAGTAGAACGATGAATGTATTTATTAGTTGGATTGTTGGAAATACTTCAATATTCACCGAAAATACCGATTACCAAGGTATGTTGTTTTTGGTAATTACTCAGGTACTCAGCCACTCGGGTACTTACGGTATTTTCAATAATAACCGAAAATACCGTATACCGTAGATACCAGTAGTAAAAACAAATATTGAATACCGCGGTATCAAGATTTGAAATACCACTAGGCCTAGTTGAATGTCTTAATTTATCTGCTACCAGTCATCATCGCAGACATATAATAAATATAATCAAGAACCTACTGATGATGCATGCCGCGGCCCGTTCGAATTGGCAAGCTAGAAATAATATAATTTTTAGATAAGAACGTGTCGTAAGTACACTCGGTCAAAAAAGTTTCCATACATTACCTTTTAATTTATAAAATGACTGCAGGAAATGTTAAATTATATGTACATCAGCATTTTTTTATCAACCAAACAATTCCTTAACAATCAATTATTTAATTTCTGATACAAATTTAGATAAAAATATCTGTCTATAAATACATTCAGTTAGAAATCCCATCTAATCAAATTATTTTCGCAATAAAAGTTTCCATACACTCATTTTTCCCGTCAGTGTACATACTATTATGAAGTTTAACGGAGTGTTTTAGTAATTTATTGTGGTCTTCCATATTTGTATACAACAAATAAGTTTTCTTTACTAATTTACTACATTAATTTAATGTTAAAGTTTTCTTTACTACGTTAACCATGGAAGTACCTACTGAAATCCGTGCATTAATTATTCGACTAAGAGAAGAAGGACAATCTTTCCGAAAAATTGCTAAAACGGTAAACAAATCACACGCGACTGTTCAATATATTGTTAACCGACAAAAAGAAATCAAAACTTTAAGCAACAGACCTCGTTCAGGTCGTCCTAGAAAATTAGATTCAAACCAACGGCGGGCAATTTTAAGAACAGTAGTAGAAAATCCCATGACTAGTGCACCAAAACTGGCGGGTATGGTTAACAAAGACTATGGAGTAAATGTAGTGCCTCAAACAGTGAGAAATGTATTGAAGAGATTTGGATACAATGGGTGTACTCCTAGGCAGAAACCATTTATAAGTGCAGTTAACAAAAGGAAACGCCTAGATTTCGCAAAATCTCATGTTGATAAGCCTACAAGTTTCTGGAATTCTGTAATTTTTTCCGATGAATCGAAATTTAATGTATTTTCATCTGATGGTAGAGGAAAAGTATGGAGAAAACCAAATGAACAATTAAAAACACAAAACTTATGCGCAACTGTTAAACATGGCGGTGGCAATGTGTTAGTATGGGGGTGTATGAGTGCATCTGGAGTAGGAAATTTAGTGGTTATAGATGGTATAATGGATCAATATATGTATTTAGATATCTTAAGAAATAATTTAAAAAGTAGTGTAGACAAATTGAGTTTGGGGAGTTCATTTATTTTTCAACAAGACAATGATCCAAAACACACGGCAAAACGTGTTAAGGAGTGGTTGATACATAATGTTCCCAAACAACTCCATACACCCCCACAGTCGCCCGATATGAACCCTATTGAACATCTATGGGATGAAATAGGAAGAAAAATTAGAACACATAATGTTCGAAATAAACAACAGTTGAAAAATGCAATTTTAACAGAATGGAATGCAATTGACCCGGATATCACTAAAAAATTAGTAAATAGTATGAAGAATCGTTTGATCGATGTTATTAAAGCAAAAGGTGGTTCTACACGTTATTAACTAAAGAAAGAAAATTGACCCAATTAATAAATTAATTAAATTAATAAATTATATTATAAGTGTATGGAAACTTTTTGGTGTATTCTCTATTTAAATATTTCTAATATGTAATTTATTATAATCATATGTTAAATAAAATATAGTTTATTTTGTTGAAATATAAAATATGTATGCTGAATAATTTGTGGTACAATTTGATGTTTTGGATCTTTTTGGATCTTTGAAATATTTACAAAAACATTTTTTGAAATAAGGTGTATGGAAACTTTTTTGATCGAGTGTAAATAAATTCTATACCTTCCGTTTAATAGTCAAGTGCTTCTCAACCTTTTTTCCTACGACACCCTAATTTAGATCTATTGTAAAGGCCACACACTCTAACAAATAATTGATTTTTGAAAAAGTAACAATTATGAACCTATATATTATTATGTAATTGAGCATGAGGCAGTCTTCACAATTGTTTTTCTTATCTATGGTTTTTACCATCACGTCATAAGTCATAACGCCATAATAATGTCATATAATATTTATAATTTGAACACGTACAAATGAACAATGTATAATTAAACAATTTTTTTGGCGACACACATCAGTGACATCACAGTAATACAACATCACGTTTTAAATAGTTTTAAATATCGGCAGACTAGTGAGACTACAAAAATGAGCTAAAGTATTGTAAAACGGCAAAAGTACCTACTATAATTTTTAAAAGATATAAAATAAGATATTATAATATGAAATAATAATAATTTTCAAATAAGCATAACGGAAGAGTTGAAAGCAATTTCGGAAAGTTTGAGTGATAGATAGTACCTATAGTCCTATACCCAGTAGGTGCTACAGAACAGAAGACATATTTAAAGCTTTATCAAAGTATCTCAAATATCATGGTCTTGGTTTTCAAAATCTTGTTAATTGCTACTACAATTAATATAGTATCGTAATGAATTTTAGATTCTGAGAGGAGCGAGGAAGCTATTGGTTTTACAATGGTGTTTATTTTTTATATCCTGTATACAACATTTCTACCAGAAGGAGTGCTTCGATTTCAACATTATATAGTACCTTATTTTTTAGAAAATTGAATCAAGATGGTACTTTAGAGAGGTAATTTTCGATTTTCTCAATAGTTATATAATGCCACTGGAAAAACCACCAAAAAATTACGAAAAACCGTTAAAAATAGGAATTTAATTTATAATGCTTTGTTTATCACCAGAGAAACGAATAAAAAATGATACTATTATAATATTAATTCAACTTACATGATATTATAATAAATAATAACAATATGAAATATCCAGACTGACAAACCGTCTCCGCTCAGAATCGATAATGATATTATATCATTGAATTCAAGTTTTATACAATCCATTATACAATGACCCACTTGTAACCTATTGTACAGCAGAGCGACATCCACTTACCCGCTTTTTAAATTTGACTTTCATAAATTATAGGTAAATCATTCATCGATGCATATGAAAAACGATTAGGAGCGGAGATGATATGTCAGACTCTGTTTCTTATAGGATATTTTATAACTTTTGTTTCTATATTATTAGGTTAGATGGATATTAGGTAGATGTTATTTATTGGATAAGGTATGTTGAACTAATTTTAGCCAAAAACATCGCATATATTAATTAATATAATTTAATATTATGCATATTATCATAATTTTATTATTATTCTTAACGCTTAAAAACTGATTTATTCTTGATGAACATGCGTGCAAATCAGTGATAACAATAAACTATTATGATATAATGCTAGTTTTGAATAATTGCCATATTGGGATAAGAATACTATAACAAAACAAGCTACTTGTGCTGAACAAAAATAACACATAATTATAAGGGTAGTAATAAAAACAATGCGGTCATTGCCAATAATAAAATACCTTTTATATACCTACCGCTAATTTTTATACTTTTCACAGGCGAAGTTTAGGTATTCTGCTAAAAATGTATGTTGATTTATCCAAAGTTAATAGACTCAAAAGCTATACTGGACTGTTTTCAACAAAAGGCATATCAATAGACAATAGATTCCTTGAGACTTTGTAGCTTTAAGTACAGCACTGTGTTTATACTTTATTTTTCCAAGGTAGCTCACAATAGAAATTTGTTTTTGTTTATTTAAACGTTTTCCGTATTAGTTACATATAATATAATTATTATAATTTAAAAAAATATGGAATACCTATACATTTTTTCCAATTTTATTTATAAAAAGTACAAATATTTAGCACGGGCAACGTCGTTTGCGACAGCTAGTATAATATATATTAGAAAATCTATTAAATAAACATAGTGTACTATTATTTCATTCTAATAGTTTTCTTATTTTTTTTTTATTGTGCAAAGGTTTTATTGACTTCGTCAAAATCAATTTTTCCCTCTGTACATTTTTCAATAGCTGATTTTTTATTTAAAGATCATTTACACCCGTTTCATCAAAGAAATGTCACACCATCAAATTTTACCAGCTCAGTGAACGTTCCTACATCCTACAATCCTACAGGTAGGTCGTACATAATAAAATATGATTTACTTAATTTTCAACTAAAACAATGTATAAATAATTATAAATTGAAAAAGTGGGAATTTAGTGCATACGTGGTATTCATTTTTCAAATGAATCCGGCTGCAACTTGTTTTCCCACAATCTATCATTTTTACCTGAAAAATCGGAACTCGTTTGAGCACACGGTTATATTAAATGTACAACTGGTTTGCGCACACGAAAATAATTATATTTTATCGCAGTGTTGGGCACTGATGTCTGATAATCATTGATAAAGAGTACGGAAATATTATATTAAAATTAAAATTATCATGAATTTTTAACTTGAACAAGTATTAAATATTATTTATTAACAATTATTAACATGCATTTTTAACCACACCTATGAATACATTCATAGACAGTCCTAAGTATTTTAAGATGGAAGGAAAATGTATGTAAGTGCGTTAATAATTTACTTATTAATAAACAAATAATAATATGTAATAGGTACCTATTAAACAATTAAAGTTTAAAAGGTAACTGTGCGCAAACCATGTGTATGGTTAAGGCTCAACTGTTCCCAAACGAGTGGTAGTTTTGTGCCCAAACAAGTTGTATTTTTGGTATTTGTGAGCAAACCAGTACCGCCTGTAAATCCGAGGGCCCAATAGTGTCTTAACTGCCTATGATCTGAAAAGAAGCAGTCACCACCAAGAGGCTAATTTTGTCAGCAAATATTAATTGTGAAAGCCGACCTCCAGAAGCAACCCCCCCCCCTAGATCCGCCTCTGTCGGTAACGTAGTTATGTTTTTGTTCTAGGGAATGGATAATTTATTAGATAAATGTCGGGCGGCGGGCTTCACACACTAAACACCTATATCATACAGCTCTAAATATTATTTTATATACACCACTATACGTCTATACACAGTAAAATAATATACACTGAAAATTGTAAACTAGTTATTCAACAACACAATTTTTTAATACATATACATTTATTATTAATAATTATTAAACACTATTTATAAAACAAGATCTAATTTTTGAACTTTTTTTTATAGTTCATCAATTACCTGTTCCGGCATCAAAGGTTTTGCTTTTAAAGACAACGAACATAGCTACGGTTGGCATATAGGTACATTATAAATTATAACATAAAAAATCTCTGGTGAGAAGACCTATCCCCCCCCTCATAACTACACCACTGTTGAGTAGGACACATATACTAGTTGTGGACAAATTATTCAGGTAAATATTAAAACATAACAATTGCGGACACGAGTTTCGTTGTCATAATACTAATTGCGTACAGAGCTTTTTTTTAAATAAAAACCACGAGAGTTATGGACACAAATATTTCCCTTCACCACTTTTTCAGGACTTAGGACAAGCTACCAAAAAATTGGTAGGTGGGGTTAAAAATATTTGTGTCTTGAAAAAGAGCAATCGTTATTTTTAAAATTTTGTTTAATTATTTAAAGTTTTAATTTTGGGGCAAAAATTGTTTATAGAATATTTATAGATTATCGTCATAGTTTTTATAGATCTTGTGGCAAAAAATGTTTTGAAACAGCCTGTATATATGATAAATGATAATCTACTGATTTCACCACGTGAATATCGCATCATTTGTTTGCTAATAAATGCCTCCTTTTCAACAGTTTAAGAAGATAGATATTAAGGTACTATAGGTATTTAGGTTATATTTCCCTATACTATATGATGGGTAGAGAAAACAAATATTGGTGTGACGTTCCATACCTAATCTTAATCCAAAATCTATGTTACGCCCAATGACCATATACATGTATATATGTATATATCTACAGATGGTACGGATTTCTTATAATAATAATAATGAGCACTACGAAAATATATAAATAAATAATTTAATGCAATATATTGAAAATACGAGTACTTACGACCTTAATCATTATCTAATAGGTATATAAAAATCTCGTGTCAAGATGTTGTGGCCGAACTCCTCCGAAACGGCAAGGCTGATTTTTTTTTGTATATTTAGTAGGTATGAGAATAGGTCATAAAGTATTTTTAACCCTCATATCCGCACCCCTCCATTTTATAACACAATTTTAGTAGGATTTGAGATTTACGGTGGAAATTTGTGTTTATAAATTTTAGCTATTGGTTATAGCCTATAGGAGACATAATTAGTAGAAATAAGTATTTATTATCATCTGGTTGCCATTGGTTAATCAGGCAGATCAGGTGCAGACATTCATCAAATCAAATTTTCGTACATTGCCTACTTGATATGCTGTGGCACATACGTAGTCAGATTGAATACCAGGGAAACAAAGTTGTACCCAAAAGGAGTTTAACAATCACAATTTTTTTAAAAGTTGTAATTTTTTACTGGCAACGAAGTGCGCGGGATCAGCTAGTTATTATATAGAATATAGGTATACAACTACAATTCGATGGTAAATAACAAAACAAACCATTCAGAACAATATGC